TCTCTATTTCCCCTCCTATGGTGGCTTTGGTGTGTGGTATGTCCCTGTACTTTCTCCTGCTTGTCCAAATGGGGTCCCTACCATTTGTATGGCTTCTCCTTCTGGGCTGAAACTGCCAATTTTGCCAGAGTTTACCGGTGGTTTTTACTGTTTTTCCCACTGGGTTTCTCTGTCTCCAATCTCTCTAGTTGGTGTCTCGCAGCGGCCTTAGCCGCTCTAAGCATCAACGAACCCCGGGCACAAAGCATTCTCACTTGTGGAGCATTTCTCTCGTTTTATATTTTTAATGGGACTGGTCGGTTAATGGCAGGCAATCTCTCTGTCAATAATCCACAAAATTTAAATTTCTCCTGTGTTTGGTTTCCTTTTGTTGACTTTTTGATATGTGGGCCTTAGATCTGCAAGTTTTTTCCTTCTTTCAGGAGGGGATTACTTTTCAGATATCTCATTGCACAAAGTCAAATTCTTCAGCGACTTTTATCCCTTTATTTTCTAATTTGCAATTGTTTATTTCCTAAATTACTGTACTTTGTTATGTCGAAGTTACCATGCTACTGCAATCCTCCCTTTCGGAACAGCTGTTCATCTCATATGTATGTCCACCTAAACCGGTGTCGGTCACCACTCTTTCCAGTTGGATATGGTGACTCCTAATCCTGGTAGATATTGACTCTTCTTTCGGTGCGCACTCCATTCACAGGGCAGCGGCATATATTTTACATTTGGTGAACTGGTCTAGGACTTTTTATTTACGTCCCTATGGTAATACCGTCTTTTCTCTTATAGCTCTGTCTTCAACATATGAAGCCTCTTGTCATGTGGTAAAGCTGAAGATTATGTTAACTTTGATATACTAATCATTTTTTTCTACACTGTTTTGCTATCATGCTGGCACTGGCGTACATACCGCTGCGATCCCTGCGACTGGCCCATCACTCCAAGGGTCCGGCCACCCTGCGGACCCCTGCAACCGGGTACCCGCCACCATGTTTTGCGGACCAGCCTGGCATGGCAAACCGCCATGGCTGCACATGAAGGAGTCCATGGATATGGATTTTCAGGGGGCCCGGTCGCGCTGTTAAAGCGCCCAGTGCTGATGACTTCAGACAGCTGGGAGGAAGTGACTGCCCCCACTGGACCCCAGGGAAAGTCACCCTCCTGCAAAAGGTAGGAAACAGGAGGCTGACTTAAACATTTTGTGTATATGTGTGTTGGTCTGTGTGTATGTGTGTGTCTGTATGTGTGTGTGTCTCTGTATGTATGTGTCTGTATGTGTGTGTCTTTGTATGTATGTGCCTCTATGTGTGTGTCTCTGTATGTGTGTATGTCTCTGTATGTATGTGTCTGTTTGTATGTGTGTGTGTGTCTGTATGTGTGTGTGTCTCTGTATGTGTGTGTGTCTCTGTATGTATGTGTTTGTCTCTGTATGTATGTGTTTGTATGTGTGTGTCTGTCTGTGTGTATGTGTCTGTACACACACATACAGACACCTACATACAGACACACACACATACAAACACATACATACAGAGACACACACATACAGACACATAAATACAGAGACACACACAGTGACACAGACACACACACATACATACAGAGACATACACACATACAGAGACGCACACATACACACACATACAGACACATACATACAGACTGTATGTATGTGTGTGTGTCTGAATGTGTGTGTCTCCGTATGTATGTGTCTGTATGTGTGTGTATGTCTGTATGTATGTGTGTGTGTATGTATGTGTCTGTGTGTATGTCTGTCGGGGATGTGTGTGTGTCTGTCTGTATGTATGTGTCTGTATGCATGTATGTCTGTATGTATGTATGTGTCTGTGTGTCTGTCGAGGGGGTGTATTTGTGTGTGTGTCTGTATGTGTGTCTGTGTGTGTCTGTGTATGTGTGTATGCAGTTATGATTCATTGGACATTTACTGAGTTACCTTGACTACGCCTGATACACATTTTCTTTTCAGTTTGATTTGTTTTAGATAATGTAAGAAATTTTGGCGAGACGAAAAAGTAACACTTCTAAATGGGGGGATAACCCCTGAAGATTGAAACAAAACTAAAATATGACCATGAACTGTATCCCAAAGGGGAACTAGTCTGTGTTAATTAACCGGTAGGCACAAATACAATATGTATCCAATAAGGCAAATCCAATACTATAAACGAAAAACAAAACAAATCTTTAAAAATCTTTCATGAATATCTACTATAAAAAAACAGATGGTTGAAAATACATATAATATAGTATTAATGATTGGCTCCTATAAAGAGACTATTAGTGGGATAACTTACCCAGAAGTGTAGATACTTCTATATGGTAATTAAAATGTGTAATACAACAGTACTTGGTTGGATCTGTTGAAACGCCTAACTAGAGTAGTAGTTAGTAATTTACCTCTATTAGTGCAATCGTCAGTGCAATAACAATGATGCTAAGTGTACATTCTATATTTTGCAGTGGTTGTTAATATTATAATTATTATTATTATTATGTTATTTATATAGCACCATCAAATTCCGCAGCGCTTTCCAATGGGTGGACGAACAGATATGTAGTTGTGACTAGACAAGTTGGACATACAGGAACAGAGGGGTTGAGGGCCCTGCTCAATGAGCTTACATGCTAGAGGGAGTGGGGTAAAGTGACACAAAAGGTAAGGATAGTACTAGACTAGTGACAGTTGCAAAAGAGGAATCAGTCGGGAGCTATTAACAGTTTAATTGATAGGCTTTTATGAAGAAGTGGGTTTTTAATGATTTTTTTGAAGGAGTGGAGACTGGATGAGCATCTAATGGAGGAGGGAAGCAAGTTCCACAGGAACGGTGCAGCCCTCGAGAAGTCTTGAAGGCAAGCATCAGAGGTGGGAGTATAGACAGAAGATAGACGTAAGTCTTCAGCAAATCGTAAGGGCCTAGACGGGACATAGTTGTGTATTAGAGAGGATAGATAGGTGGGAGCAGCATTATGTAGAGATATGAAAGCAAGAACCAGAATTTTAAATTGAGCCCTATATCTTACAGGAAGCCAATGTAGGGACTGACAGAAGGGTGAGACATGGGAGGTGCGGGTGGACAGGAAGATGAACCTCTCAGCCGCATTCATTATGGACTGTAACGGCGCAAGTTGGGAGCACGTAAGACCACTGAGAAGCTGATTACAATAATCAAGGTGAAAAAGGACAGTGGAATGGACCAGCACCTTAGTCGCATCTGGCGTTAAGTAGTAGGCGCAATGTTTTTGAGATGGAATCGACAGTATTTTGCGATAGACTGAACATAAGGCTTGAAGGAGAGGTCGGAGTCAAAGAGAACTCCTAGGCAGCGAGCCTGCATGGTGGAGCTGATGGTAGCACCGTTGACTTGGAGACAGACAGACACAGGAGTAACAACACATGAGGGAGGACACTAGTCAAGACGGACAGGGAGAGATCAGGAGAGGACAGGTAGGTTTGCGTGTCATCTGCATAAAAATAATATTGGAAGCTAAAGGAGCTAATGAGTTTACCAAGGGAGGCAGTATAGATGGAGAACAGTAGGGGACCAAGGACTGAACCTTGGGGGACACCAACAGAGAGGAGTTGGGGAGAAGAAGCAGAGCCAGAGAAAGAAACACTGAAAGAGCGCTGGGGGAGGTAGGAGAAGCACCAGGAGACAGCAATATCTTGTAGACCGATATTGAGGAGGATGAGAAGAAGCTGTTGATGATGAACAGTTTCAAAAGCCGTACACAGGTCAAGGAGAATTAGGATAGAGTACTGACCACGAGATTTTGCAGTGAGTAGATCAATGGATACTTTGGTCAGTGCCGTTTCCACAGAGTGCTTAGCACGGAAACCAGACTGAAGCGGGTCTAGCAGAGAGTTGGACTCGAGGAAGTCTGTCAATCTTGCATACACAATTCTTTCAAGGATCTTGGATGCAAAAGGCAGTAGCTAGATAGGAGAGTAGTTGGATAGGGAGTTAGGGTCAAGGTTGGGCTTCTTTAGTATTGGGGTTACAGTTGCATGTTTGAAGGGTGATGTAAATATACCAGAAGAGAGAGAGATTGAGAATTTTAGTGAGAGGTGGAGAAAGAGAAGAAGACATAGTATGGATGAGATATGAGGGAATTGGATCTAGGGAGCAGGTGGTGAGGTGGTAAGACTGTAGCAGAGCAGAAACATCTTCCGCTGTAGCAGGTGTAAATGAACAGAGAACAGCAGAGGGAGTGAGGTTGGAGGAAGCTTTGTAAGGGTAATAAGAAAGATGAGAGATCTGGTCCCAGATTGTAGAAATCTTGTCAGTGAAGTGAGTTGCAAAGTCTGAGGCAGTCAAGTTAGTAGGTGGAGGAGGAACAACAGGGTGAAGAAGAGAGTTAAATGTGTGAAATAGTCATTTGGGTTCACGGGAGAGTGTGGTTATGAGGGTATTGAAGTAATTTACTTTTGCAGAGGAAAGAGCCAAGCTTAATATAAACTTAATATAATCACCACCACAATTAAGGGTGCTATTCCTCCAATACCAATAAAGTAAATACTCAAAAAGAAAGGAATGCACACCAACTGATACAATAGTCACATGTTTCTGCCCATATAGGCTTGTGGAATTTGGTAAATATAATTGTTTAGTTGTTTAGCCTATTTGGTCACTGTTATATTGTTACATTTTGTATGTATGGCTTGTATTTGTATTGTAATAAATATATATAGATAGATACTATTGTATCAGTTGGTGTGCATTCCTTTCCTTCCTGTATCTCCTGAAACATGGCTGCTATACACTAACAGCTTGCAGTGTCTTTATTTATATCACCTGAAACAGTGGTTACTTTCATCAATAACCTTCAGTTAACCTTCAGAGTGTTCGATCCTGTAGCCTATGGAGATAGAAGACTATACCGGAAAGAAGGGGGTGGAAGAGAAAGGAAGTGCTTAGACAGAATTGGTAAGTCAGCGTCCAATAATATAGCTATTTTGCTGCTGCTTCCAATTCTAATCCACGATAGTAAATATCAAAGATCTGTGTGTGTGTGTGTGGGGGTCAGTCTGTGTATGTATGGGTCTGTCACGGCTGTCAGCACGCAGAATTATGTAACATCTACACAGACAGAACAGAAAGTATAGAACGTAAACCGGTCCTTAGAATGACCGGACTAATACGTTAAAGAAAGAGAATGGTCAAGGGAGAGCCGAGGTCAAGGAAGCCAATATCCCTCCTTTGACTGTGACTGGTCAGACTGTGACCTCTGACCTCAGAACGTGCATGTGCGTCAACGTTGTGATGTCACACGCACGTTTGTGTGATCCTGAGGGGCGGAGCTATCGATGGCCTCGACCGCATGGTCGGCGCCATATTTATTTCGGGCAGGCGGCCAGAAGAACCCAGTGGAGCGGTTCCCGACTCGCCACTGAGCAGGTAAGCTCAGTTTGTCGGTGCGGTCGCACCAGTCGGGTGCTGCCGCGTCTCGTGGCGAGCTGGGGGCCATGACAGGGTCAGTCTGTGTGTGTGTAAGGATTAGTGTATGTGGGGGGTCAGCCTGTGTATATATGGGTCAGTCTGTGTGTGTGAGGGGGTCAGTCTGTGTGTGTGGGTCAGTCTGTGTATGTGCATGAGTCAGTCTGTGTAAGTACTAAAGCTCCAAGAGATATACCTTTCATTTTGTGGCCTCCCCTGTACCCGATGGATAGGCAGCCTTCTCAACCACCACGGATCTAACTCTGCCAGGTAAGATCAGGGAAAGGGGAATATTCTTTATTCCTTTTAAACAATGAATAAAGTACAAATTGTAAAGCTCTTCCCTATCCCACTCACTACACCCCCTGAACAGTACACCTTCACAGACAGTAACCCTCCCACATACAGTACACTCCCATCAACAAAGAGTACACCTTCATCCACATACACACTTCTTCCCCATATACCTTCACCCCCGCACACACATGCATACATCAGTTTCCATGAAAAGGAGTTTTGCCTGTAATAAGGAAAGCGCAGCAGTGGAACTACAGGGAGTACTGGTGCTGTGGTTACACCTGGCCCATCGAGTGGCCCGTACAATTAAGGGCCAACCGAAGGGGCATGTGTCTTCAGGGGCCCAAAGTTTTTGCACCAGGGCCCACTCTACGTTAGTTCCGCCACTGTGCAACAGCTTCCCCAGCACACAAGCTCCGCCCCTGCATGGAAGATCGCCTCCCCAATCTCAGACTGAGACACACACTGACAGACATGGTGGACAGTCACATGTGTGTGTGTGTGTGTGTATATATATATATATATATATATATATATATATACAGTGCCTTGCAAAAGTATTCACCCCCCTTAACTTTTTACCTATTTTGTTACAATACAGCCTTAAGTTCAATGTTTTATTAATCTGAATTTTATGTGATGGGTCAGAACACAATAGTCTAAGTTGGTGAAGTGAAATGAGAAAAATATATACATAAAACTATTTTTTAGAAATAGAAAACAAAAAATTGGCATGTGCGTATGTATTCACCCCCTTTGTTATGAAGCCTATAAA